GATGTGAAAACTACTGGCTAACAAAGCAAAGACTTGTGAAACAAACAAACAAATAGAAAAAAAGTGCTGGCCATGAAGGATACAGATTATACCAAGAAGGCCAAATGTGCAGACTAGTACACTTCCGGCTAAATTCATGGAGTTTTTCTGGTGACCAAGCTTCAGCACTCTGCGAGTAGTTAAAGCAGGTGCTATTACAGAATCAGAAGTAACAGTTGTGTGGCTACACAGAAGTCTCTTTCAGTAAACACTCCATATACAGGTATTTTACCTCAGGCATATGAGCTGGAGGCCCAAGGTACTCCACTGCTGCATCAGCTCCTTGTAGGGAGAGTGGGTGGCACTGTCCAAGATAAACCTCATCCTTTGCTATGTTACTGCCTGCAGGGCATCCAGACTGTCAGACCCTATGACACAGCTAGCTTTTTTAGCAGTCTGTTGAGCCTGCTGGCATCCCCTGCCTTGATGTTACCTCCCCCGCATACATAGAACCCGCTGGCCACTATATATTAGTAGAAGTTGTAGAGCAGATTGTTGCAAATATTGGATGACATGAGCCTCCTTGGGCGGAAACTCTATGTTTGTTTTTGACTAAATTAGACAAAATGTTGTGTGATATATATTGAAAGTCGACTAGTCGAATCATTAGTCGGGAGACCTGTCAGTCGACTGCATGTTTTTTTTTTATTGCTGGTGGAAAAAAAACACATTTGCTTTACATTTTTTAACCTTGATGCTCACAAAGTTCTATGTAAAATTGTCTTTATGAGGAAAAACCTGTTAGAAACCTTGTTTAAATGTAATAATACAATGTATATGCCACAATAAAGATTAGTAATAAGGTTACACTTTAGCAACAATGGCCCTGGAGTGGATGGATGGATCTGTAGATCTAAGGAGGGGCAATGGTAAACTAATCAGAGACAATTACAACACACCCATAACCTACCTCTGCTTAATTAATGATTGATAAAGTGAAAACATTTTAGCATCTTGTCTGTAGTTTATTTTCTTCCTTCTGCCTCTTTCTGGAAAATGAGCAATGTCAAATTGACTCCACTTGAAATGAATTGGTTGATAGCTGAAGAGACCAATCTGGGCTGAAAGATTAGTCTCTAAACAGCTGATTATGGCGTAATCAAACCACCTCAAGAGAGTTTATGTAATCAGAATCCTGGGGGGATTGTGGAAAGAAAATGCAGATCAGGCTGACAGCGATGCTAAATTCACACAACAATGAGAACATCTGTAAAATAGTGTGAAACAAATCCCTATAAATGGTTGCCTCTAAACACAACACACCATTGCATTACTGGAAGTTTCCAAAATTTGACATACTTCAAAATACGGTGATGCTGTGTTTATGTCAGGACTACTGGGTTGGATTACATTAGACCGTAGAGGTTTTCTTTACTTTTCTTTTGTCTTTGGTAAGACAGATCTAACAGCATGATTGATACATGAGAAGTTTCTGCTAGAGGGGCTACTAATTAGTAGGTATTTGTAAGACTAGTGGAATGAGATAAAGAGGGACAGTGTCTGGACAACTTAGTGGGCCCGTGGCATACAAATGACACTGCCTGCCTTTTCAGCTAGGCCAAGCCAGTGCAGTTTATCCTATGCAGATACAACAAAGGAATAAGGCCTCAATAAGCAGATGCATAATATATCTGATGCTTGCTTGGTGAGGATTCAAGGACAGCTTAAAGGTGCATTAGGTCAGAGAATATTATGGAAAAGGTTCCAGTATAACTACTGGCTATTTGTAAGACCAGTAGAGATACTGTAAATAAGCAGTGGCCATGGCAGTCAGATGAAACTGCTGGAGAGGACTGTGTATATAGTGACTTGAACACATAATTTCAAGATACATTTAACCCACTAACATCTAGTATTGGCAAGAGTATCAATTTTGAGAGAGGACATTTGTTTTTGAATGTTTTGTTGTCTGACTGTATTGTGATTGTGAATTACTGAAATTTCACAGCTTGATCCAACCACAGTGCAAAAGCAAAAAATATTTTGGCTGGTCTTAAAATGTGCCAAATGCAAGTTCCATTTATTGTTCTTGTTTACCAAAAGCAAGATGGTTCCTTTTGAATTTCACCCAATTTAGTTGGTTCAGAATGAAAATTATTATTATTTGTTGTTTTTACCTTTACTTATTCAGGGTGGGTCCACTAAGAGGCCACCTCTCCTTTTCAGGGATGCCCTGTTCACATTCACACCTGGAAGCTGCCCAGTGTAACCACAGACTGACATCTGGCCACTGAGCAGCTGCACTGGAGCAGCTGGGGTTAAGGGCCATGCTCAAGGGCACCACAGTGGCGTTAATGAGGGTGCAGCAAGCACTGCTTTCTCATCTGTGCCACCCAGATTTAATCCTGCCAGTCCAGGGATTCATTTGTATTTATTTCAAAGAGAGGTCAAGAAAGACTGGGCGTCCCTGGGTGAGAGACATTTCAGTTCTGCAGTTTGCAAGCAAGTCTGGGTTTGTTGTGTGTCTCTGAGCTGGTGTTCAAATTCATCACACATCTGAACTTGAACTGAAAATATAGTGCAATTTCTTCACAGTATTTGTGCACAACAGCGCAAATGGCAAATCAAGCTCGAGCGTCTGTATCTCGGTACATACTGTAGGTGTCTTATTTTTGGGATCCACCCCAAACAACCTTGAAAATCTTATTATGGTTCCCGGGTTTTCAGCGGTGGTTGCCATGACAACTGCATTTTCTTTCTGGCTCCCTTTGAAATTGTGTGTGATATCAGAGATCCCACATGTTATGTAAGAATGTGCATTGTTCCAGACTGGGGTTTCCTGCTGCAGAGAACTTAAAGTAATTAATTACAGGAAAATGGCAGACGCTCAAGGTGCTCCAGTGGTGCCTCCCTATTTCCTATGCAGATTTGTTCACATACTGGTAAGATACTGTGCAACTGTTATATAGGAAGCTAAGAATGATGAGCTGCTTTTATTAACACGGTCCGTTTTGACTGGGATTGGATAACGACAACCAGTTCCAAGCTGGAACCGGTTCCAAATTTCAAAGAACCATGAATTCACTCCAACACATGCATTACGATTCTGCGTTTCGGTTCCTAACAGTTGCATATTTCAGCCGTGCTCTTAGATGAACTGCAATGAGCATTACAGTCCATAAAAGTACTAATCTGCCAGGGCATGCGGTGTGGACCTAATGCCATGTCGATTGTTATGCAACACATGAACAAAGCATGTGAAAAGGGGCTTCTGTTTGCATCCATGGCTGCCTTGCTTCTGTTCTGATATATGTGATATCTGGTTGAAACGGGTCCAGGGTAGGTGATATGATGAAAGGTCAGTTTCACATTCAGTGTATTCTGGAGCAGTGCTTCAGCCTTTAGATATTACAAGTTGTCATACTATGTTGAGCAATATCCATTGTTAGCAACTGTTACCATTCTCATCTACTTTGATTATTTTGATTTTTGCCAACTAGACCGGCGACCTGTCCAGGGTGGACCCCACCTGTCGCCCAATGTCAGCTGGCTTTGCCCTTCCCCATGACCCTCGTTAAGATAAGCATTATAGATAAAGGATGGATGGATGGATTTCTGCCAACTCATTCCTGTTCCTCTTACTGCCAATTCATGGAAATCTGTCAATATGCTAATGTAATTCCATTAATCTTTCATACTCATCTGTCTCACCAATAAATATCTACCATATATACTTGCTGTCTTTCTGTAGTTTTCTTCTGTGTAGTTTTATATCTTTACTAGCACAGAAAAAAAACAACAACAAAAAACTGGATATTGGTCTGTAATTAGCCAGAACACCTGGGTCAAGAGTAGGCTTTTTGAGTAGAGGTTTAATTACAGCAACCTTAGAAGCCTGTGGAACATAACCTGTAGAGAGATGTTAATCAGGTCTAACATGGACGTGTTGATTAGGGGTAAAACGTCTTTGAGCAGCCAGGTCGGGATGGGGTCTAAGGGACATGCTGGTGATTTAGATGAAACAATTGTTGAGGTAAACTCAGAGGGATCTATGGGAGAGAAGTAGTCTAAGTATAACTGAGGTCTTACAGATGTTTCTGAAGCCATTGCAGTTGCTGACACATCTGTGAGTTGTGGGAATGATTTGATTATTTTTTTCTCTAATAGTAGTGATTTTATTTGTAAAGAAGCTCATGAAGTCATTGCTGCTGAGATCTAAGGGAATGTTAAGCTCAACAGCACTGTGGCTCTTTGTCAGCCTGGCTACAGTGCTGAAAAGAAACCTGGGGTTGTTCTTATTTTCCTCAATCAGTGATGAATAAAATGCGGTTCTGGCACTATGAAGGGCTTTCTTATATGTTATTAAACTATCTTTCCAGGCTATGAAAAACTCTTCTGATTTAGTGGAGCGCCACCTCCTTTCCAGTTTTCGTGATGCCTGCTTTAGGGAGCGGACCTGCGAACGAACAGCCTTTAAAAAGAACACAAAGGACTTCTACTTCAAGGAGAAATAAATCTCTAGAGAAATATAAGTGTGCTTCTATACTACATTAAAAACATTACAGTAATTGTAATAGCTCTTCATAGCTCTGTGATTAAAATTTGTCATTCTTAGTTACACATCATTATACTTTCATGTGTATTGTACTGCAGTATTGTAATACTGCAGTAACATCTCACTTAACATCATCTCTCCTTTGCAAGAGAGTTCACTTGCATTCTAGGTCCCTTGGTGTATATTGTGCTGGAAACAGCAAACTGGGATGATGAAATATTTACAAGTGCATGTAGATGCCAGATGAGAGCTCTTGTCACTGAGAATGATGAATGAATGTGAAGAGTATTTCATGGGAGCATTTATCTGGCACGTACTTGCTTATAATTGGAACTACAATAGTAATTTCAGTATATTGGGATTTCAGAGTGGAAATACTGTAGCAGCTTAAGGTTGCTCAGAGCCATTCTGCTTCTGACTCATTCATATCTTCATTTTCTTATTTTTTCCCCTTTTTCTGAAACAGACCAGAAGTTTTCACCTTGGTCACCGTCTCAAAAGTTCAATGAAGGCAGACGCCTCCCTCTGGCCAGGAACATGAAGGGCTTATCAGGCAGCCGTTCCCAGCACCAGATCCCTTTACCCCATGGCTTGGACTATGACCCCCACGTCCATGACCTCCACGCTCACCATGAGTCCCGCCACCCGTCCTACCTGCTCAGCCCTACAGAAAGCTGCCCCATGGAATTCCACCACCGCTACTCACCACGCAGCTCCATCCACTCTGACTGCATGATGATGTCTCCTGTCATGATGGCCCCAACTGCTGCATCTGACCACATCTCCAGCAGCACCTTCCCCAGAATGCATTACAGCTCCCAGTATTATGACTCAGCCACACGGGATGACTGTGCCGCCATCACAGCCTCTGCCACCTCCCCAGCCAATGCCGGCACCAAGAGCAACCGCCTTCCCGCTAACCTACTAGACCAGTTTGAGAAACAACTGCCATTACACCGAGACGGCTTCCACACGTTACAGTACCAGCGAACCACCACCACCACTGACCAACGCAGCGAGAGTCCTGGCCGCATCAGACACCTTGTTCATTCTGTCCAGAAGCTCTTCACCAAGTCCCACTCCCTGGAGGGATCATCCAAGATGAATGGCACAAAAGGTGATATTGTAGGAGGTGGAGGAGGAGCAGGGGGTTATCACCATCATGGGCACCACTCAACCAAACATGGTAGCAAGAGGAGCAAGAGCAGAGAACGTAAGCATCGCTCTGGTGGCTTTTGGAGCTCGGATGACAACCTGGATAGTGACAGCACCTACCGCACACCCAGTGTCATGTCACGACACCACGGGGAACACGTCAGCCATTACTACCCAGATTCCATGCACAGCCATCACTTTGGGGACCTGTCACTCAAGGCGTCTAAGAGTAACAATGATGTCAAGTGCTCGGCCTGTGAGAGCATGGCCATGGCGCCCGAGGGCAAATTCATGAAGAGGAGCTCCTGGTCAACACTGACAGTCAGCCAGGCAAAGGAAGCCTATAGGAAATCATCTCTTAATCTAGACAAACCCATGATGCACACGGGCCTCAAGTCTTCATCACGGACATGTCACTACCTGCAGGTGAGTAGTACCTTACTTACTTTGTTTTCAATGATCAGGAATGAAACAAAATAGAAAAGAGAAGAGAAAGACAGACTGTACGCATTAATATTTCAGAGTAGCCATATATTAAAAGTATGTGCATAACAGCCTTCATGTTTGTTGAAATTTAAGTTTAATGTACAGTTTGTGTGTAATTTGTGTACATGCTGCTGCTGGAAAATAAAAAGTGCCAATATAAATCATATTACATTTGTATTTTTGGTAGTTTGATATTCTGAAATTGCTCTTTTGTTTCATTTGAGATCACCCATTAGTGTTAATTTACTATTAGCTTATTATTACTATTTGCTTATTGTACACTGTTTAATTTACGGCAGTTTCACAAATGAAGGTGACTTTTGAATTTTGATTTTAGTCATTTCAGTTATTTTAAGCTTGTAATTATCAATGCAACCTTAAGTTACTGTAACACTGCTGCTCTTAAAAGCCATTTACTGGGATTTCTGTTATTATTGAATATATCACTCTTAAGAAAGGGCTAATGTTAGATTGACATGGCAGTAAATGGATAAAAAACCAGCTCATCACCGATCTAAAAATATAGCAAACAATAACTGAAATCAGTATCCCCTCATCCCTATAGAAGCCTTTTTGAGTAAATAGCAGTGATTGATTAGAAATCCTGACAGGGAAGCCTGTTGGATTTCGCTTTTCCTTCTTTAGTGAGGACAATTAAAGTACTCACGAGTGTGAGAAGTCAATATATTTAACCAGGATTCCCTTTTGTGTGGTCACCTGAGGGAGCTATTGTCTATTAAAATGAAAGGATCAATCGAGTGAATCAGTGTGTCACGGTGGAAGACACTGAGAATAAAGGGCTACCAGAGCTAGACTGCAATATAAAAAAAGCACAGGTTTGGTGCCTTAATAAAAAATATATGCAGTTCAGCTGTTGAAAGAAGCTGTGTACTAAAAATTAAATGCATTATTTAAAGTTTTTAGGCTCTGCCATTGCTATCCTACTGACACATTATGAAACTGAACAAGTTTAGTCACAGGTACTGGTTTCAAAAACACAATCAAGAGCATTTCAAATGACGTAACATGAATAAATAGTAAAAAAAAAATGGACGGATTTGAGTATCTTGCAAAATGTGACTGCCCATATATTCTAAATGTAGATGGTTACTTCTTGCCCGAAAAAAAATCAAAACTTTATAAAACAGCAAAATACCAATCCTAGGACAAAATATTCAGAGATTAAATCATAAGGAAAACATAAATGATGCCTCTTTAGCATAGCTGACATTGTGCTACAACCTCATTTTCATCAAAACGAGGAACACCACCCACCCTCCTGCCCTAATCTACTATAATACCCCTGGTGGTTCTTCGTGTAATACACAGTGGCCTTTGCAACTATTTAGACTCTGGTATTGTACACTGAAACATACCAACAGAGCATTTATCTAGAAGTACATGCTTTAGATGAAATTATGAAGACTTGAGTAATAGTCTGCACTCCTGTTAAAAGGAGTTTAATGCCCTGCTGATTTGGATGCATCATCTTATTCTGGTTACTATAATAAGCAGGTGACTAAGTTGTCTAAACCTTCCTTCAGAATTCAGTGCACTGTGATCAGTGTTACAAATGACTTATATCTTACCACTTCAACTACCAACAGCTTACTAGCATACTATGGGAAAAATTATAGGGTTCATTCACTTACAAAATTGTTATGCCAGGTTTTATATAGGTCAGTGTTTCTGTGCTAGGCATATGTGAGCATCTACTACATGGTCTTATGTACAAATTCACCTTCTGCAGCAGGAAAACATTTTATCTCAAGGTTATTTTTGTACTGTGTTTTTGGTGTTTAGTGGTATTGTAGTTAATGATGGTAAAAAGCAACATGCCTCTCTAGATGCCTCAGAGGCACAGCAGAATATGCTCTTTCAGGTGTAGCATCGAATAAGGTAATGCTAATGAGCTAGTGCACTGCTTCCATCAGTGGCTGCCTTGTTAACCACATCCCCAGGCAATCAATGGCCGTGCATTCGGACAAAAATGAATCTTTTCCTTGATTATTGCCTTTAAGCCTGCTAATTTAGTTTCCCGACAATTGCTGCATTTTATTCCACTGATAAGGGAGATGATAAATGTATGCATAGCAGATTAGTGGGCATGATAGTTTTACTAACAGGTTACTGAAGGAAGACATGAGCAAGCCTGCTAATTTTCATTTTACCCTCCCAGTTATGCAGGGTTGGAAAGTACTTCGCTCTCTTTTTTTTAAGCAGATGACACACAAATATAAGCAAACTCAGAATCCTTCATTTTTCTTCTCTGTTGTTGGCCACTGAAATTTGTTGCTCAATGCTGAAACAGTGAGCCATGCTGTCCAAAAGAAATTCATTGATTTTGGATTCAAAAGGAGATTTCTAGCAGCATATGGTCGAAAAAGCTTCAGCATCCCTTTCATCTTGACTACAAAATCATTTGTGGAAAACCTTTGAGTAAAATGCAGTAGGGTAATGAAAGTGGAAAGCAGCAGGTGCTACTTTTAGCATCCCTACATCTTTCTACTTTTTCCCATTTGGCACCTCCCATACCAGTGTTCATCATTTTCACATAAGTGCCTTATACTGTCTGGTTCTTCATCTGTCTGCCCTGCTGAAATCAGGGAGGATATTGAGTGCTAAAGAAAAGACTGAGAAAGAAAGAGATGGCCAACAACAACAGTAGTGACAGAGAAAGCACTAGTCTGCTTGTAGGTGAAAAATGAGGGGGTATCAGCCGCTCTCTGTGAAACCAGTTCAGCAATTGTGCCAGAGAAACAGCCAAGCTTATATGAGTTGGTAAAGAGAGTAACTGGCAGAGCACTAGGGACAGTCCTGTGCCTGGGGCTGTTGTTTCAAGAGCTAAGTCTCCCCTGCCCACTGGGAGACCTGCTACAGCTGAACCACACACTGACATCGTGTTGTACTTACTACATCTCTGATCAATATGGAGCCAGAGCGTGTTGTGTGTGACACACTGCCATTGTAAACCTCCATCTTTGGGAGGGGGGGAAAGCACAGTGTGTCTGGGAGGGTTAATATTAATCACAGTTCAATCTCAGTAAAGTCTGGTGAGCTTAAATATAAGCAGTGTATATTCATTATGACAATAAAAAATGAGGGTAATTGCTTCTCAGGTGATAAACTGGATTTACAGTACTTTACCTTGATTTCTGGCACAACACAATCTAAATAAACTGGTACTGGTTTTCAGCACTGGTTATGTGGAGGCATTTCTACGCCAAGTGTACTGTAACTAGCACACAGTCACTTAATGATTGTGTTAATCCTGATTAACGCATGAATCAGGTCACATATTTGTGTTTGAACCCGACCGGTGCCTAAGAGTGTGGAGTCTGAACCTGAACCGAGCCCGGTGCAGTTGGGGTTTGTATGGTGTTTTCCCGCTTATCGTTAAACAAAGTAAACATTTGAGTCCTCCAGCCATTTAGCTTTAAGTTTGACCTATATGTCTGGACCCAAACTTAATTTCTAAATTTCAGGCTGAACCCAGCCCGAACCCTCAGGTGTCAATGTGTCCCATTGTTTCAGGTATTCACACCCTAATCCTGATACTCTTGTGTTAAGAAGAAAAGCAAATTTAAGAGCATATACAATATTTTTTTTGTATTAGCAATGAGCCTGTGTCGTTAATGACAGTGTGCTGATTTAAAACCCTAGCCCTGGCAGTATGATTGGCAGACTTTGCTGTGAAGGCATAAATATACACCAACTGCTTCACCACCAACAGTGAGGGAATTTCTATTCATCTTTATTTTAAAAGTCCTTGAAATAAGTATGCCCATGCTTTGACTTGCAATATGAGTGATATTCTTAAAGGTCATTTTCCCATTTAACTGGTTTGATGATCTTTCAGGTGTAAAGTAGTATCTGAGGTCGTCCTAGAAATGTGCTGATGACTCACACCCAGAGGTTGAATAGTTGTTGAAATGCTGACATCCTGCTGACATACTGACATGCTGCTTTTGTGGAAAAACCTGAGAGTAATTTGAATTTAATAATAAAGTATTGTATGATTTACTAACAGTACATTTAAATAATGGATCCCACAGTGGGTAGAGCTGAATGTTAGAGTAGGCATGGAGCCTATCCAACGCAAATCACACTAAAGTGAACGCATAGCTTCCTTAAAAGTACATGTAGAGGTCTTAGTGTTCTCTTTACTCCAGTGCTGTGCTACTATGATCCCGCTTAGAGCCCACAAGGCTTTGAGTTTATGTCTCTATGTATATTAAATAGGCCTGGGTATCATTCCAAAATCTTTAATACTGGTACTGACATTGATACCTTCACTTTGATACCGGTTCCTTAACTATATTTTTTTCAATACCAATTTTATAATATATATTGGCATTTTTGTGCACTCAAAGCAGTTTCATAACATAAAACGTAAACCCATTTACCACAACCTTAAGTTCTTTTAACATTAACATCAATAAATAAACATGTAGAAAAGCATTTTTTTATACTTGACATTTTTCAATACTCGGTATTGAAGTAAGGCCTTAGAAGTTTGATACCCAGCACTAATGTTAAATGTACAATACATGGCCATTTTCTTCCCAGGATGCAGTGCTCCTTGTTATTACCACCCACTGGTCAAAGCTGCACAGAGAGAAAAGAACCTTCACTTACACTCCCACCTACACTTCCAGCCAACGTTAGGCTAATAAACAGAGGTTTGTGGATAACCACTGTTTTTCCAGACAAACCCCTGTTGCTGATGTTGGAAGCATTAATTACACTACTTATATTGCAGCAGCAAGTTTTACAGAGATGATCTAGCAGACAAAAGGTGTTTAGAGATATTTTTGGGGGACATTCTGTCTATATTTGATATTACTTTAGGTTGCACAGAAATGTCACAGAAATGTGACCAGATAGAAAGAGGGAGGCATCCAGCATAGTTGGACTCAAACCGCGTTGCAAACAAACGGCCTGCGCTGTAACCGCTCGACTGTTAGGGTGTTCTGGATAAAGGTGTTAGTACAGCTAATGGATGAGCTTCAGTGAACTGGTGTTTTCTCTCTTTCCTCTCGTTAAGAGGCTTTGATTTGTTCTCACCGGTCTTTATATTTCCCATAATCTTACATAGTGAAATACACACAAACATGCTCATACATGCACACATTGAAATTACTTTTATCCTTACATTATAATGTGATGACATGCATGTTAGACACACATACAGTAGCACAAGTGTTTCCCCAGATGCACTTGGTACTGGACATGTAGCAGAATTCATGCTTTTTGTCGTTCTCAGACCATAAACTTGACTCTGCCTCAATGTTGATGTATATATTACACTAAAATAACTAAACAGAAGCAACATATACATAATTCTGCTGTCAGGTTTTACTTCAAGACCCCAATAAATCAGCTGTGCCCTTACAAAAAACAACTTCATTCATTCAGCTTGGGAAAATAGGAGTTGAGTGTAAACCCAAGGGGTCTGACTTATGTTAGATCACTGTATTATGACATATAGCCTAATGTAATAACTAAATTATGTGATGAAAACTCCCATTGTTGGACTGTCATACAAATAAAAAGTTGTAAAAAGAATAGAGAGACAACTCCAAAACAGTCTCCACAATTCAACAATACCACAATTCAGCTTGGACAGATATCTGATTTATTAATTGTGCCATGGGGAAAAACTAGCAACTGACGCCATGAAATTTAAAAATGCTTCACATTTTGTGTAAAACCTGTTTTTATCTCAACTCATTAAGATTAGCTTTCTTTAGAATTAAATGCATGTGTGATTAAAATATTTGAAAAATGGTCTTTGTCAGTAAAATGACTGCAAAACCACTAACCATGCATTGTTTAGAATCAATAACTAGGGTTTCTAAAACAGTTTCTCTAATACAATTTTCTCACTAGGCTAACAGTCAACCAGAAAAACCTCCAGATTCTTTGAGAAAACGTATGCTTACTTTCCAGGATGCGTCTCCTTTTAATAAACATGCCGCTGAGGTCCTGCCACTGACAGCCTTCAACAGGCAGAAAATGCTTTGGACTCTACATTTTTCCATTGCGGGAGATTTTTAGGTTATTACACACTGCACATATATTTCAAATTGGATGATCAGACTCTGGACACTTCAATATAATGTGTGAATTTACTGCACTAGGTAGCAAATAGGCAGTGATTTCAAACACGACGTTAAAGAGAGACTGCGTCTGAATGTTTCAGCACCATGGGCAGAGGCAGAGACTTTAACCATGACAAAAGAAAACACAGTAACGGTTTTTCTCCAGCTCTGCCTGTGTCATTAATGTCACCAAATACAAATAAAAATAGTCAGTTAATCAAATCAAGCAATTCTAAAATGTCTACATTTTACCTATAAGTTTAATGCACTTACAGAGTAAAGTGTTTCACAAATGAGTTGTGGCTCTTGTAGCCATCAGCTACTCTGAGTGTCATAGCTACAGTAATAATCTGGTGTTTTTCATTTCAAGAATGAGACATTATGCATTTTCATAGTTACAGACTAGAATAAGCCACTGGGAGATGCTCGTGAGTAATGTAAGATTAAGCATTGAGCTTGTTTAACTTGAGAAATAATGAAATAAAGGTGGAGCTTTAAACAAGGAATTCAAATCAGATTCATTTTCTGTTTAGGGGAAAAACTGCCACAGCTCATCAGACTACAGTCTGATACAGTTCTCACACTCATTTGGCTAATTGGGCCCCATTGCATTTGTAAATAATAACCCACTGTTGCATCTGTTCTCCACCATCATTTAGCAAATCACCAGCTAGCTCAAGGATTACAGCCTTGTGGACATAAATGTGTATACAGCATTTAATAGAGGGTTGCTATTTTAACAGGTGCCCCAGGATGAGTGGAGCGGATACCCAGGTGAGAGGGATGAGGAGATCCCGTGTCGGCGGATGCGCAGCAGTAGCTATGTCAAAGCTATGGGAGAGGTGGATGATGAAAGCAGTGATTCTGACACCAGCCCTAAGACCTCCCCACAGAAAGCCATTCGGCCTGACGCTCTTGTCCTCAAATCAGCCATGCACAGACCCCATTTAGACTCCCAAAGGTAGGCCAAAGCTATGTGCTGATTTTAATTAATCCCATTTTTTCATGAAAATATTCAAGAATTCATGGATGCGTACACACAGGTATGTTCAAATGAAGCAAAATGATGCAAAAGGATTTGCTGCATTTCACATTTGAAGTTTCAGAAATGTACTGGTATTCTTTAAAATACATTATTATTAATAATAATACTGCTTAACTGTTTTCTCTTGAATTGCTAATAAGTAGATGCTCAGATTTTGTTGCACTCTAAAGACACAGGAATTAGATTTTTGGCTCCTGTAACTGACAAAGCTAGCTCTAAAGGTCAGTATAAATAACAGGGCTCACAATGTTGCATAGTTACTTGTGCACAGAAACACTCACTGCCACAGTTATGGTGGTGGAGCTGTCATTCAGGGCCTTGGGGCAGGTGATTGGGATTCTCCAGCTTCAGTTCAGTGGGGAACTCAACATCAAAAGTGCAACATCACACGCTACATCGGTATTTTGATCAGCATGCCATACTGCAATAAGATCTTTCTTTCAGCATTCAAACTACTCCACACAGTTCAATAGCTGAAGCGGTTTAAGGAATAAATAAATTTTGCTGAATGACCAGAATGCAATTTGAGTTTTATGCACAGCTGACCTGCACTCGAGCTACTGACTGCATGCACATTCAGTGTTTCAAGAATGGGCACCAAGGAAGAACATTTATAAATTTGAAATCTTCAATAAATGTTTTAATTCACACCCTCAGCCTTTTTTATTTCTATAAATCCAAACCCTCTAACACCGACTTTCTGCCTTGTCTACATGCCTGTCCAAGTACAATGGTTTTTATGCTGATGCTGCTTTCCCAGAGAAATTTGAATAGGTTAAACATGTTTTTGGTGTTTCAAATTAAGTTACTTTGCAACAGACTGAGAGGAGCCGCAACTGTTTCTTATATCATACCATGACTTCGTGGCCAACTGCATTAAGCTGTTGTTTAGAGCTGTGCTGTACTTACATGTTGGCTTGCTTTATAGCCACACTATTAACTTGCTCAAGCATTGTTGCCTAAGTATTCAGTTCACGGCTGCTTCATTAGACCAGGTAAAGTAATGCTCTTCTGAGCGTTTCAGTACCAAATGGGATTTTGTGTTTGTGATCTTTTTTTTTTTTTGTCTGCTAGTTCAATATTTGCCCAACATCTTTCACAGACAATGTGCTTTATTTTATCAGTGTTGTTGACACATTTATATCCAATGTCAGACTCAAGAGAGCAGGATTACACATGCCTGGGTTTACTCAATGTGCAAAATGTTGAGAAGGAAGGGCAAACACTGGAGTTACTGACCTCTGTGTTAAAATATACTGTATGATGAGAAATCCTTAAGTAGGAGAGATGTGTTTGATCAGTTATACAGTAATGTGCTGAGTAGATTTCCTATTACCAAGAATACATTTTTTTTTGTACTGCATTAAAAAATAATCATGGAAATACACACAGTTAACAGGTACACCTTGCAAAAACACAGTTTAACAGTCTGGCAATAAAGGTTTCAATACTGTCATGAAGGTTATGATGCTCAGTTTTTGTTTAGACTGTTAAAGAGAGGTGTTTGTCATTTTTGAAGCTACAGTTCGTGGTGCACTGATTGTGTTTATTGTAAGTACTGAGAGTTGTTTGTGATATTTAATCTACCCTCATTGATATAAATGAAGTGAACAGTAGTTTTCAGTAATAAAAATGAGTGAAATTATACAAATGATATATTGGAAAAGTCTCTGTAATGGTCAAGTAGAATGTGAAACAACACGGATCAGTTATTCAGAAGCCGTAGATTTAGCGTCAGTATAATCAGATGTGGTTTGCTTTGTAAATCAGTGGATCTTTTACTTTCTTTAAAACTTGACTACTTGGAGTGCTCTACCCTAGCTTAATTAATTAGTAATTTCTCTGTTGTACAGTATTTGTTGCCTACTAAACTAGCACAAACTACGTAATATTCCTTTTGTGACCTAATACTTGTGACCCTGATGCTTCACATTCACATTTCTACTAAGCTTACTGTTGCTCAGCTTGATATTACGCAGCTTTCTGTGCCTATTCAGGTAATGTGGCTTTAAATACAGTCAAATTCTATGAACCCGAGGATACGTCATGCATCCGTCATCTCTATTGCCACTCAGTGCTGTTTTGGTAACCATCATTTCAGTGGGGCTCTGATCACTTCTGCTTTTATCTGTTATTACTGTAGCTCCTAGCTTTCATTGTTAAAGAACAGACAAGCTGTACACATGCTCTCTATGGCCGTGGGATGGAAGAGGTGTCTCATAGGATACTTGGAGCTAGACAAGAATCTAATGACTCAAGTCACTAAAATAGTTCAGTGTTGATCCCAGCAGTTCAGACAGTGTTGTGAGAAGATGAGTCATTCAAGTAGCTGCTATTCATTTTGCCCATACTCTGCCATGCTGATAGATGATAGCTAGTAGATTCATTAAATACAATATTATCCAGTGATGATCCATGTGTGGCTTCTGAACTGTGCAATCATGTCTGTCCCTACCCCATGTCCTTGTTCAGCCAGGGCTACCACTTGCAAACCACAAGAGATATGCGGCCCCACCCTAGTGTCACGCTGGACCCTGCCACCACCTTTCATCCCCCACCCTTCCGCTCTCGAAATCAGAGCTACATGCGTGCCGTCAGCACCCTAAGTCAGGCTAGCTGCGTCAGCCAGGTGAGTCTCAAATGCATACATCGCACAGAGGCAACACCCGAAGGCATGAATAACAGCTTATGTTACGTTGTTTTGCATGTAGTAGCTTTGTGCAGAGGGCATTACAGAACCGTAAAACATCCCCAGGTGTCCATACTGGAGGTCCACAGCTGATTGTTTAGTAGACAAAGCCTTGGCTACCTCAACTGATTCAACAGACATAACTAATCTATGCTGTTTTGGACTGGGAACTGATTCTTTAACTGGCTGCATATGTGTGAGTCAGCTCCAGATACAGTCTGTTGTTTTCTAATGTTGTTTCATGCTATAAAGACATGTACAACTGTAGATAAGTGAGAAACCAAGATATCAGTTGTATACCTGAGAATCTGTATCCTGACTTTGCCCAAGGAAATCTTGATTAAGCCACTGATAAATGATTCGTCCTTCTGCTGTTGTTGTGGCATGCCAGCTAATTAACTAATTAACAATGCCAAAAGCTGCAGTTTGTTTTGATTAACAGAGCTTATTTAATACCTTTTTATAAGTAGAGAATAAAGCTAGAGATACAAGTTGTACTTTAACCTCACATCACACAACAACTTTTTCAGGTCTCTCTCTGTTTCATACCCTGCCTATGAAACTATACAGTTGGATCAATTGTGCAAGTCTGTTTTGGACCTCCGTGGTGGCACAAGACGTTGTTGCTACAGTAAGAAGATTTGCAACACAGCCAGCAACCAAGCCTCTATATGGAAAGAAGTAACAGGAGGACAGATTTCTTGGTTTCCCCAAAAAAGGGGTTTTACAATCAGCTTGCTGTTGGGTGCTAACACCTAATTTATTATTAATTTCTTAATGAAATTTCATAAATAATAGTGAAACCCAGTTGTTTTTCTTTAACATATTTTAGTATGTTAAACAAAGCAATATGAAAAAGGCAATACTTTGTTGATGTACTAGTATTCTGCTACATAGACAGCTGTTTTAAAGCAACTGACTATTAATTAACTAACTTATGTGTAAAGAGTATACATAATGTGCATAGTTTACAGGGAATATGATTTGTGAAGAGGCCAGGTCATGACAGGATAGAACAGAATTTGTTAGATAGCTCCTTTTTTTATAATTACACTGACCTTGAATTCAACAAATTAATTCACCTTGTATCAGCTAGAATAATTTAGAGTATTTCTAGGAGAACTGCTACAGCTAAAGGACTGACACTGCCGTGTGGTTTTCCTAGTTTCCATTTACAGTAGTACTATATAGTATACGCTATAACTTTGTTTTGTGGTAAACTGAATGTTATGTAACACAAACTGAATATTTTCCTAATTGTTTTTTTGTCATCTGCCCTTTTTTCCATTTGATCTTGATATTAATTCAGTTTAAGGTCGGAAGTGACAGTGGCATTTCCTTATGCTAACACTCCTTCATATTTGCTGTGCAAAGGGGAAGAATCAAAGTGAGAAAGAGAAAGGAAGAGGAAAAATTAAGGACTGCTATTCCTGTTTTTGTCTCTCAGGTGAGTGAGACTGAGATCAATGGCCAGTTTGAGTCAGTTTGCGAGTCCGTTTTTAGTGAAGTAGAATCCCAGGCCATGGAGGCTTTGGACCTGCCTGGTTCGTTCCGCACTCGAAGCCACAGTTACCTCCGTGCAATTCAGGCTGGTTATTCCCAAGATGATGACTGCTTGCCTTCAATGACATCCTCCACTGTCACTTCAACTCTCAGATCCACAACAGGTAAAACAATCCTCCCCCCTAAATCAGAGAGGGCTTAGACTACATATCTTCATACATCCTATACATGCGCACAACCTTGACATACCTACATATGTACAGTGGGGAACCCTTGAGCTTCAGAGATGCCGGGCTGAATGATCCTCATTATTTTCTTTGGAAACTATGATGTGCGTGTTTGTTGTTGCCTCTGCATACTGCCGATTGTTCAGATGGATTTGCTTGTGTGTTAACATTGCACGATTCATGCATCACTAGCCAAGCTTCCGGTCGGTCACTCGTGGCGTGGCCAGACTGTAGACTAGCGTAAGGGTGGGAGGGTTGCATTTTAAACACACTGATAGCAACACAAGCTCATGGTGCACAATATCACTACACAGCACAGCCACATTACATGGCATGCCTTAGAGGAACAGGCTCTACCCTAAGCATGTTAAACTGTGGTGTTATATTTGTGTTGTGCGAAGAGTATGTTACTTAGGGAGGGGTGAAGTCCAAAACGGGCCAGGGGTAGGGGAGTGGTAGGTTGACGACACATTTCAAAGGACACACTGGACAAGTCTTCCACCTGTCCTCCCCCTGCTCTGTTGCACCACACATTAGCATATGCTTTGTAATTGACCTTGTAATTGACCTCATAAAAAAAATAAATAAATAAAATCTTGTAATGAATTTAAGGTAAGTCAACAAAGTCTAGAGACTAGAATACATGCGCACACGTGCTGGTTGCACAAAAGAACTGTGCACTCCTAACATTTGAGAAGTGCAACTTTCAATTATTTGCAGTATTGTTGCATTGTGTTGCATGAAACCCAAGCTTGTAAGCAGCAGGCTCAGTCAAAAGAATTAGTTACTGTTACTACAAAACGTCCTCAGGTTTCCTAATCACTGACATCTTCAACTGTAAGTTACCATTTCAGCAAATTTAATTTTATAAGTCACATCATTGTTAGCTACAATTATTAGAGTGGACTCAACTCAACTGAAAATGTTTTGAAACATTTTCTGAAACCATTGAATTCTGTGCATATTTATTTGTACTACATTCTGCTTTTTTAACACAATATGCAAGCATTTCAAGATTTTGTGTGACACAATGCAAGCAATATATCCCAGAAATGAACTTTTCAAGTTCTTTGTGCAAACAGTCTTTGCAATAACTCCCTCACTAAGTGCATTTGGTGTTTGCCTGCAAGAGTAAAGCTATGAACCCTATTGAAACATTTTTCTTTAACTGCGTGCATTTTTAAATATTATGATTACTTGGATTCTTATTGTTTTTGTTCACTTTTCTGTCAATTTAATATTGGAGACATTTGCACTTTTATTCATTTTGTGGGTTTTGTTTTCTTGTTCAATCTGGACTTTTGTTTTTGGAATCCTCTCATCTTCAATTGGGTGTCAATCTACAATTTCTTCAATGTGACAGAAGTACTGAGGATAAAGGAGTGTTCTCCAATCCCACTGTCTTATTTGCTGAACTCCATTTATTTAGCTCTCTGTTCCAAATCTATCAGCTCTATATGGGATTAAACAAGCAGTTAACTGTACAATATGCTGTAAACTTTTATTTTGAACGTTGGCATCAATTACAATATGTCAGATAATGCTATAGCAACTCAGAGGAATGGTTCTCTGGATGGTGATTAATTATATATATACACCTCCCAGTCAAGCAATACTGTAAATAATATTTCTCCTTTGCTGTACACTTTGCACTGTCCTGAGGGAATAGTGGCCTTAAAATTAAACAGTGTGACCTTTCCAGGCTATCCTGGCTAAGAAAGCACTGATTCCTGGAATAATGTTTTTATTTTAGTATTCAGTACTAGTTTATCATTGAGTTGTAAGCAAATCTTGTGTGAGGCTAGAGGGCCCTTGAGTGGGGAAGGGATCCCATGATGCGGCATAGGGCAGACGAGCAGCAAATCCCTCTCCATTTGATCATCCATCTCTTGAAGGATAACCAGGGGGAAAGAACAACTGGAGGCATCAGTGATGATTGTTGCAGGTATTTTAATGTTGACAAGCATACATATATCTATGTATATGTGTGTTTTTGCACTGCCTTCTCGGTAAAAAAAAAAAAAAAAAAAATACATAGAGTTTATATATGTACTGTAGCTGGTAGAAGTATCTCATTATGTTATCCTAAGTAGCAAATATGGATCCAAACAACTCACAAAACCTCAGAAACTTTGATATGTTCTTCACCTTGATACCTGTGATTATTAATTACAGTGCTTGAATGTGATGCTGGCTTTTGTGAGCTGTTTACCATGCCTCGATTTTAAGCGTGCTTAGACCACAGTGTAAGTGTAAATGTATGATAGATGTACTTCCCAAACGTTTCAGAATGTTTTCATATCGCAACCATAAAATAGCACCGTCTCCAGTCATTTGTGAGAGCAGCATCTGGCTGCTGTCCATGTGTGAAATTTATTTTTTCTTTCCTGAAAATCTGACTTTTTTTTTTTTTTTTTTACTTTCGTTAAATAATGCTGAGTCCATTCATAAAACAGCTGGTCACTATATGTTTTTTCCCAAAACATCTCTCAAACATCGAGACAAGGCGACAGAATTTGCTAAGCACTGCTTTGAAGAGGCCTTTATAGATTGATACTCGGTATGTAAACCATTTGGATATGTGGCATGGATAAACTACAGAACAGAGGTTCTGATATAGAGTGGCAAAGTCTAACCCTTGGCATTGAGTCTGTCAGCTGTCTTTGACTGTGGGATTGCAGCCTCTCCCTGGTGCAGCCCTGAAGGGGGGAGTGACCCCTCCCCTCGCTGGGTTTCTTACTCCACATGGTTTAATCAGCCACCTTGAACCGGACATGTTCAATAGGGTTCATATCTTCTTGGCCCAGTGGGTTGTGACTCTTCTACTCCTTTTACATCTTTTCTTTTGCACAAAATGGCAAAAATTTCAAGTTGCTGAGAAACATTTTGACATGGTTTCAGAAATGGGTTCTCCAAAAAAGGATTTATCATTTCATAATGATTGATGTATTTCATGTTTAATTCCACTCTTGGCTGTGCTGTGCAGTGAAAAGATGGAAAGAAGCCTTGCGATGACTGAGAAGGCAGTGTAAAAACATTGTGAAAACCCTACAATATGTGAGTCAGTGACCATTATTGCTGTCTTAGTTCAATTAAGGTACTCAAAAACCTATTTCAGAAAGGTGTGTACTCTGCACTGGCTCTGGCAGGAAGTAGCTCTGGTACTTAGAGGTGACCCTTTATGGATATTTGTTTAAAAAGCTATACTTGAATACCACAGAAAGTTCAAGTAAATGTATTAAAGTATTCATCCAAAACTGTCAGTGATGATAAGCAACTTCCAAAAACATTAATTCCACAAACAAAATATTTACATAATAATCAGAAATGGACAGATGGTTTCTTCAAATCTGCAATTTTTGGCTGTGTAACTCGACTCTGTTGGCTCTTAGTTTTATACAGTTCTAGTGCAGAAGAACTCACATTTGAACAGCACACCAGTCCATGGGTGCCCATCTCCGATTTAATCCTAACCGAAATTTTTAGAACCAAAATGGGACTTCACTGGGTCTGATCTGTGTGTTTTTGAAGTTACCGACCACTCACATACTGAGGGTTTTCCATAGATATGTGTTGATTTTCTAGTTCAGAATCCAAATCAAAGTGAACTCCAGCTGTTCCTTTCACTCTGAATGTCCTTCTGTTTGCATATTCAAACTTTTCTTCCAGAGGGCTATGATGTTGTGGATGGGACTTCTTTACTAAATGACGACATGATAGAGGATGATGACGGTGCTAGCTCCTCTGCCTATGCGGAGCTGGAGAGGCTGGAGAGAGAGACTGCTGCTGCCCGCAGCCAGCACAGTACTAGCTCCACCGTAACAGCCATCTCTGTCCCACCGGCATCCCCACCTTCATACAGGGTCCCTACTGCCTCACCCATAGCCACCTCTGAGCCAGCGGTCCCTCAGGCCATTCAAGCCTTTAAAGAGTCTGCAAACATGGTTGCTGCCTTCAACATGCAGTGGAAGGATGAAATCTCAGCAATGCGCTATGAGCTGGCAGAGCTACGAAGAGATGTCTGTGGGGAGCTGAAGACTTTCAACAGCAACTTCTTCAACTTTACTCAGTGCTACAATATGTGGGCTTTGTGCCGGGAGCCTTGCAGCGACAGTACCACGCAAACAGATGACAGAGTGTCCATAGGAATTCAAGCGGGTTCAAGCTGGTCCATTCGACAGAATACAGAGGACAAGTCAGTGATGTGCCAACCAGAGCCCTCACCCTTCAGCATTATGGATTTGATGGACCCACCTCGAATTGAGATTATAGAGGGAACCCCGGAGAGCACACCAGAGGGGTCGGGCAGTCCTGCCAGCCCACTTCCAATAGAGGACTTCCCATGGGAGATCAACAAAAAGCAAAAGACCTATAAGCAGCCAGACACGGGAGGCCACACGAGTGGTCACAGAAGCGCTAGTCTAGAACTGTGGAGCAGAAAGTACACCAGTGGGCCCATGTCATATCTGTCTATGTCATTCTAATCATTCCCATGCTACATACGCTGTAAACTGAGATGAGGAAGCTAGGGTAAAAACCTAACATGTACCAAGAAGGGCAGTTCTGTTGTTAGATGTCCCTTTACTCTATGCAGACACAGAGTCTGTTATCTCTTGAACAGAATACAATGTTGTTCAAGCAGTCTTTTAACAAGTGTCTTGCTTAGCCATGGAATACAACAGAATTATCTTATTTTTCACCGGAATGAGGTGACGTAAGAATGTGAGCGATAACATGGGTGATGTTCAGATCCTCAAGTGCCAACAAGAGCAGCAGCATCTTCCCTCCGCTGTCTTAAATACCCAGCCTTCAGAGAAAGTCAATTCAGTGATCTGAGGGAAATCTGAGGGTCATTTCCAGATAATATACATTAGCCATTGTGAACTGGTCTGTTTCTGCACATGAATTTGAATAGCTCATGTTCATTCCAGTTTCTCTTCATGTAGAAACATTCTCTTAAGCACCTGAGTATACTGAAAAAATACTGTGAATACCTTTATAAACCCTAGTTTTGTAACGAATGCATTAAATATGAGTACATTATTAATATTGTGATATATAAAGCATTCCTTTGCCATAGCCTTCATACATTTTGTAGCCAGTTCCAGTCAAAATGGGCATTTTGAGAACTTCCAGTTTTAAACCAGTGAACCACAAAGCATAAAGCAACATCATTTAATAAACAGTTAACTAGATAGATCAAATCTGTAAAAGCCTAAGCGTCTGGAATACTGTATGAACGATACTGTCTCGAACCTTTGTGGACTTGTCCCTGGCTAAAATTGTTTACAGTTCATCATTTGTGACTGATTTAACAAGTCTAACAAGCATAGGGAAAGGAAACGGTAACGGGGATGAAGTATGGATGTAGTGGCTTCAGTTCATTCCTGCACAAGCTGCATTCATGTTGAAACACTGTATATGTATATAAATGTACCATTTTGTATATAGAGAAACTTATATTCAATACCTGTACGGTTTGCAGTTGTAAACATACTGTATTCTGACAGTGATGAGGGGTTACAATAGTAATTGTGGTTCTAAACCAAACACAGCACTTTTGCCAGTCCCCAAGGTCTGTCTACATGCATTTCATCATTTTCATCACCCAGCTGTTTGTGCACCTCATAAGGAAGTTGGTAGATCACGCCAGTGTTTCGTCTATTGTTTTTCGTGCAGTGGTGACTGGAAGTTCTAAAAGGTTTGGTAAAACATCTTACCTATTTCCATTCATTTTTATTTTCGAGGAAGTGGTCTAACAAACACTGAATGGGATCAATCCTTTTGGTAAATTATGATTACAGATGTGAACTAAATTCCATCATTCATCTTTTTTAAATGCCACATTTGTCTGCCACAGTTAAGGCGGATTTTTTTTTTTTTTTCATGCTTGAGTGGTTCATCACTGCTGAAAGATAACAGAGAAACATTGGTCCCCATAAGTAGACAATCAGAGCCGCCGAGGGCCTCTACCTCTTTGACATTTCCCCAGAGGTGCAGTATAGTACCGCTGAATGTACTAACACCGCCTCACTAGTGATAGCTTAGCTAGGCTCCTGTCAAACCTTAATGGACGGGAGCCCTCAATCATCTGCTATATTTGGCCAACTGCTCACTCTGTCTGTTACTCATAAAATAATAGTCTCTCATTAGACCCTGGCATTTCCCTCAACCGCTCATCCGCTCCATTGTCCCTTTGTACCAACATGGCATACCAAAGTTAATACTGAGGCCCATGGAACTAGGGCTGACAACAAACATCAAGTTTGACAGCACGTATCTCTGGACATCACTGCAGCACAGGACCATGGGAAGCCTGTCAGACCCCTAACTGAAATGTGAACCTTGCAAAAGGACTTTAATAAAGGACAGGTTCACTTTATAAAGTGAATGGATCTTCCCCCGTTTGCACGACCAAAAGACAATACTTGCAGAAAAAGTGGCATTTTGAAAAGATGATATTTATAAAAAAAAAAAACTAACAAACAACAACAACAACAAAAAAAGGCTGTACTAGAGGTAAGCTCAAGATTAAAGCCACAAAAAAAAAAAAGGCAAGCATTTTCTTTTCAGTTATTGCAGCGGTTCCACCCCACACACCTACAGTATTACAGTAGCTCATTAAACCTAAGCTTAGATGGCTAGTTAAATGTATGTGTTACAGAGGAACACTATGTTAAGGCATGTTCTAAATTTTGTCAGCGATTCCACGACTCTGAACATATAATTTTGAGGTTTTGGTACAAAAAATATTTATAATGAATAGGTTGTATTGTTGCCTTCCTCCACTATTTACAATACAAAATAATACTTTTTAAAAGCTTAAAACCTATTTATTGTTGTTATAATATAGCATAAATCATAGAGTTCACTGAAAGGCGCAAGACTGTGACAACATTTAGCCTACACACACACAGACACACACACACACACACACACACACGTAGAACATATGAAAAAACTATGGAATCATATTTTTTGCTTTTTGAACAATTAAGATGGGATTGCAGTGGCATTCCTTACATCTTTTCCCATTGTCTGGGGAATGCAAATTAATTTAAAGGTGCTTAAGACTGGCCAATCATGATGTCTCTAATCTACATTCATTCATTCTATGCAAGTGTTCCATTCTTTGTCGGATTTTTATGTCAGCTAAATAGTTGCAGTTATAAATAAATATTAGGCGTCTATGTTCAGCCTTCAAGTCAGCAATGCTGGGAATGGAGTGACGTTTTCAGAAAACATTGGTGGCTCTTTTAAAAAAAATATATTTATTTTTGCATGAGCCACAGGCAACACTAAGGTTGCTTTAGTGTTCCAGCAAAACAGTTGTTTCACTCACATTTCTCCCATCCGAGCTTCTATGGATACCAGTTTTCTTTTTCCTGCTATGTAGCAGCATCCATGTGGTTTGTGAAATCTTATCCAAAAGAAAGGAACGATCGTATGCGTGTAACACACTGACAGTTTATCTACTGAAAACTGTGAAAATCAGAAAACAAAGCCTGCGATAATATACTGTTATTGGAAATGCTGTACAAACGCTTAACATTCTTCTAAATTCACACTGAACTCAACTGCACACTAGTGACAACAATTGATGACTGATGCCAGGGAACTCACTCGCACTATAAATAGGTTTAATCTAATGTTTATCATTTCATCATTTCACCCAAAGAAATTACCCTTCCCTTAAAAACAAGTTGAAATGTAGCAAAAACAGATTCTAATCTAAATATTATTTTAAAAATATATACATGAAAGATATACATTTAACAAAAAAAGAAAAAGAAACAAAGGGTATTTACAATTATTTTTTAACCATGTAATATTTCTTCTAATCAAATATATAATTTATTTATAAGATATTCTTTATCTGATACTTTACAGTATGTAATCAATTACTCCATGAGTTTTTGTTTACATTTTGCCGTCATCCGGAGATCTGATGCAACAACTGTGCCAACTCTGTCATGTTCATTAGGACAAAGGTTTTTGGATGGAATCTGATCTCACCTGAACCTGTAACAGTGCTTGAATATAAATCTTTTTCTACCCATGTGTTCTCTTCCTGCATTTATTCAAGGTTTCTTGGAGAAAAAAAAACAAACAAACATGCTATTTTATTTTGCATCAAGCATCTTGCAACTTTCAGGGATCTCAAACTACACTGTTTAGTGAATCACATTTATAAGCAGACGTTACAAAGCATCCTTTTGAAAACCATAGTTCAGCCTGCATTTGTTAGCTTAAGCTTATTTTGTTAACCAAATGATGTGATACTTTTTTTTTTTTTATTGTTTTTATTTATTTATTTATTGCTTACTGTGGTGTTTCTTGTGAATTTACATTTACAAACTTTATTGGACTTATGTATTTTTCATAAATTGATATAAAACTATGGATTCAAATGTTTATGATGTTTATGGTAATTGAAATGACAAAATGGGGGTCATAGCTTTACAAAAGATGAAACTGTCTTGTAGCGCAAACAGTATTTTTTGTGTTCACAGTACAGTAAGTGGTCTACGCACTTAAACACACTGCAAACACACAGCATGAGTCTGGCACAGTCTCTTAGATTGACCCTCTCAATATGCCTTGCTTTTCTACTAAGCTACCATCTTTTTGTTTGTTTGTTTTTATTTGTTTTGTTTTTTTCCTCTTATTTTAGGCGCCCGTAGCTTAGCTGGGGGGCGTAGAGAGTACGGTAGGTCTGGTAGGGAAGCACTTTATTATATTTTTTATATGTTGTTAAACCCATTTTTGCATTCATTTTGTCTGACTCATCAACATTTTCTACTTGTTAAAAATAAGATACATCATAAGTTGAAGTTATAGATACTCATCATATTCACTAAGTATGTATAATACATTTAAATGTTTTCATCCGTTTCCACATTGAAGCCCGTGGAACTAGATACTAGTGCTGGATAATCAGCTCAACAAACCAAAAGAACAAAACTGTTGACTACTGTCCCACATGTTAGCCTTGTGTTAGCTCACTGGCGTGTTTGTAAAACTGTCTACTGCAGCTGAACAAAATGAGACGCAGGAGAAACCGTCCAATTTAAAATGCTCAACTAGAATGTGCATCCTTAATCGGGATGCACATAATGTTATTCACAAAATCCATAAAACGTTTTATTTGTTTTCTTTTTATTTGTTATGCTTTAATATTACAGTTCTGTTCTAATTCATTGGTATTAGTGGTGATTCACCCTCTTGCTTTAACCATTTTACAGTACATGTTTTCTTTAAGCGCACAGAGGGGAACAGAGTCGGTACACAGTAGCACTAGTCTTTATTTTAAATATCCTGGCATGCGGCAAGGCGGGTTATGACCAACATACCAGCTTTGTTCTACAAACCACCACAAATCAATGCTGCTTTTAGATGATATTATCAAATCGGTTTTTCATGCTCAAATTGTGGATAAGCCGTTGTCGTATAAGAAGACCTTTTCAGACCCTTGGTTAAGGCAGTTGCTTTCAGTAGTTGTGATTTTGACACTGATGACATTTTCACCGAGCTTATTCTTCAGACACTAATTTCAAGGGAAGGACAGACACTACAAATAGGCAAACTGAATTTTAAAGGTGGTGGGTAATGGATTTAATGTTCAAAATTATCAAATGGCTGCAGACTGTGGCATACTGCAATGTGTTATCTCTCTGCTTTCTCATCCAGTCTAAACAAAATCATACCTGCATTTTACGTGTAGTCAGATATTTGGCGTAGGTACAATTTTATATAGTTCATTTCCATGACAGGTCTAGAACATGCAGTTCTCTCACATACTACATATACTGTGTGAGCCAAAGTTCTATTTTAAAAGGTTCATAATGAACAGTTTATACTTAGCTGCCATTCATGCACTAACCATATACTCTATATCTGGGAAGCCTGGAGAAATTTAACACTTTTGAGGAATTATTTAGGACACTAGTCATTATCTGTGGCAAAAAAAACAAATAAAAGAGAGAGGTTTTGTTGAAATGATACTTTTAGGCCATTGATTTGTATTGGTTTGTTGTGATTTATCATACATAAAAAGGTTAAACCACCTTGCATTCATGGGGGCATCACCACTGTATGTATATATGTATGTGGCTATGAACAATATGCCTGTGTATTGTACAGCTCTTGAGAAAAGGGCTACACAAAGCTAGTTTTTAAACTTTGTAAATCCAGTAGAATCAGCTGGAATTCTTGACCTATACACACCCTCAAGTCCTGCTAGTTGTCCTATGTCAAATCATCCATTCATTATTATCCATCGGTCCACTCATCCATAATGCAAACCACCAGCGCCATATTCAGCCATAAACCTGTGGAAATATCTTCACAGTAGTTGAGTATAGAAACATTCATTGCAACAGAAACAACTAAATTCCTCTTAGTTGATGCTCTTTTTTGCTGAACACATTTATTTTGTACGTCGCAAAATGCACATACTAAAGAGACAATTTAAGGGAGAACATACATTTATGTTTTTTTAGGAAAAAACAGATTTAAAGGAGATATTTTTTTTTGTTCAAGAGAAATGACAGTTTCATTACAGAATTTACTTTGCACTTCATCTTGGAGTCCATCACTAAATGGACTTTACTAAAGCAATGTATGATGTGCAGTAATCATGTAATCTAGAAGTTTATCTGTTACTTTTATAATAAGGACGTTGTGTTGTCCCTAGCAATAAACAAGCTGCATGAGAAAAATATGGAGTAGGCTACAGTACACTCTACATAAATATATATATACACACACACACACAGCTGTGCGGCACTCACTGCTCATTGCTCTGACAGAGCAGCAAGTTGCTAAGGTGAGAGATACTGATTGTACAGCCACTAGAAAGAGCTGTGAGGTGTAATTTTTAGGCTTAGACTCTGATTTTCAATATACTTCCTGAAATTGAGTAAAGCTAATATAGATAGCAACTGTTTCCATGGTTTACACAGTCCGAAGTCAAACAAACCATAGTGTAGCAGTAAGAGCTGAGAGACTAAACATTCACCTTGTTACATCTTCAGCCCCCATGCTCATATATTCATCACTCATTGCACGTTACGCCACAATCCACCCTGACCTGAGTAGGAACAGCATCTCGCCAGCATCTTTGCCAGTCTGAGTCCACAACTATGGCAAGATGGAGGGAGTCGGACGGGGAGGAGACGCTGTCAGAACTTTTGCGAGGATTTTTCTGAGAATTAAGGCTTGACCACAAAGGAGCAAAAGGTTTGAGGGGCCTTGTTGAAAAAGCACGAGAGGGAGCCTGTGACATGTTCTCTGCAACAAAACTATTAACTAATGATATTAAGTCACACTTTACATAAAGTTCATGTATGTACTACAGTTTTTTATAGTACCTGCATAATCAATTAGGAATTTTAACTGTAAAACAACAGAGTGAAGATAATAATTGATCAGAATCTAATTTTATCGTAATTACCCATAATTATAGTTTCATGGTAAGTACATGTACTTCATGTAAAGTATGACTAAACTCATGCATCCAACTACAAAGGGATATAAAGGTAGTAAACTGGTCATAAAAATAAGTGGGATGGTCATACCATCTGTATAAGGTTAGAAAAAATGGGAACATGAAATGAGAAACTTCCAAAAAAAAAAAAAAAAAAGACTGACTTGCTTCTCAGTTTGAAAACATGTTCTTTGTCTAGGTCTCTCAGCATATGTCGTCTGATTTTCTGTTTCCTGACTGTCTTAAGTCTCATTTCTGTTAACTCTACAGTTGACAAAATTTTTAAATTTCCAATTCTACTTTATGTTTGTAGCCTTTTCCTGCAGTTGTGGAGTGGCTAATTCATTAGTTAGTTGATATTAATGGCTGTCTGTGTCTCTTCTCCTAAGTCTTTGTCTGTACGTGACATTTTTGTTAGACTTATCCTAAAAAAAACTGCAAAGTTCAGTGCCTCTCTCAAAAGAGGCACGGAACGGTTAAAAAGTTTAATACCTGAATATAACCACAGATTAAAAAAAAAAAAAAAGGCTTGCCATTTCAAACTCCAAATTGAAGAATCATTTCAATTGATCTGATTAAATCCTGGCTTTTAAAATGTGACCTGATTTTTATATTTTAATGATTTTATGCTCTATGTTTTATGTGTACAGTACGATAAGGTGTAGCTGTCTGTTTTCTGATTCAGGTGAAGCACGTTATCTTCTGCAGAATGTTTTAGTGTATTAGCGACTTACCAGTTGAGTTAAGCCTGATTAGTAACAATTGATTGTTAGATCAATGGTCAACATATCTAATCAGGGCAATGCCCATGGGCAACATTCCTAACAACTAGGGGTGGGACAATATATCAAAATTCAATATATCATGATATAAAAATGCCACAATATGTATCGTTACACCAGAAACTTCATATTTTTTGTAAATAAGGCAGCCTAGCCAAGTCAATATATCTGGTTATTTCTTACATAATCAAATCAGTGCTAGAAAAGGGGAAAAAAGAGGAAGTGCAAATATTCTGCAGTTAGTCATACATTGCTATCATTGAATTTTAATTGTATCATGATTGAATCAAATCATACGCACCATATCATGCATCAAATTATAATTAGAAAAAGTCATATTGTCCCATCCCAACTAACAACCTTGACAAACACTGACTCTTCACAGGCTTTAGGCTATTTGCTAAAGGCAATATATCATCCAGACATGTATGTGCTGAAGGACAGAACCTGAAGAACAACAACAAATAATTATCTGTTTACAGTATAGATGGTATAGCTGATTTCCATTTTGCTTTTGAGCTTGGTTCATTATCGATTGAGTCTTTGCCGCTTACTTGTCTTATTGCAATTTTTACTGTTGGCTTTACATGCATTAAGATGTTTTTGGATAATATTGGGAGCAAAGGTGAATAAGGAATTGTTGCCTATGAACATTGCCCAACATGTTTCAGGTTGTCAGTGCCATTAGAATGTCTGCATATTGAGGCCGAAACACAGCAAATGCTCAATAATGAGTGTTACCCATAAAATGGCGTTAAACTGTTATTTTTCTCCCTTTATGTGATGAAGCAGTGTTTGAGTTTGTTAGAACTGTACATCTAACTCACTCATATGAAATCATTAGAGTCAAAATGCACTTTCTCCCAGTGTTTTTAGCTCTGCACGCTCACCATTTAGGAAAAAAACATTGACATGACCCTGTGAGTTGAGCATATCTGTGTTTCTCCCTCTCCCTGCTTATTACTGACTGACTTAACAACTGGCTAAGCAAAATGGCAGCCATCCTGTAAATACTCCCAATGAATTTTAGACCTATTAATGCTAGTTGTGGTAGGTATGAAAAGATCATTTACTGTGGGCGTGCATTATGGTTGCAACGGTATGAGATTTTCATGGTATGATAACCATCTCAGATAATATAATGGTTTCACGGTGTTATGCAGTTACTATTATTATCAGCTACAACAACCCTCAGGGGAATGAAAACAAAAGGGTGTTTGTTTTTCATTCTAAGTGACTGTGGCAGTTGATTGAGCTGGATTGCAGCACTAGATTGACCCTAAGGAATAAACAGAATTATAAACATGAGTTAAAAAAAACAGCATATACACAACTATATAACATGTTAGTCTGGATGTTAGCACCAGTAGTAGAGCTAATATTCACATCCATTATTTAAGTAAAAGTACTAATATCACACTGTAAAAGTACTTTGTTACATGTACAAGTCCTGCATTGAAAATGTTAAGTAAAAGTATTATTATGAAAATGTACTTAAGGCTTTAAAAGTAGAAGTAGGCTACCCAAAGCAGAAAAATGGGTTATACTACTATACTGTTATACTATTATACCATTAAATTAACAGTCATACATTGATAGAAAAGCAGGATTTGGTTGTTGTAGTTGGTTGAGATGGAGCTCTTCTGAACTATTTATTGTCTCCACTGATCGACTGACTGGTTTGGAAAACTTCTGGCAATCGTGTGTGATGTCATCACAATGTCATTAACAAAACGCAATAATGTGAGATGTCATCACAATGTCATTAACAAAACAGCTGCTAATTTACTATAGTTGCACAACAGTGCAGCCAGAATGATCCTGTACCTTCACGCTCACACACACAAACACACATTCAACCTATGTGATTCAGGAAATAGTGCGCGGGTGCTTCTGGGGTCAGATCGAGATCAGTGTGAGTCCTTTTATAAGTCAAAGATCAGCAAACAATCAGACAATGTGGACATTTGTTTGATAGTGGGTTTAATGACCTACATTTATACGCTCCCGTGTTTTATTGTTTGGGATTAAAGCTGGGATGGTGTTCTCGAAGGTGTTTGTTTTTAGGGTATCCAAAGTAATCCGGCACAGCTGATTTTATTGTTGTTTTTGGTGGATGGAATTTGGTGATATCAGAGTTCTTCCCTCTGCCATTTGTACGATGCGCGTGTGGCGCTTGCTAAAGGATCCTGACAGGCAGTTGGAGAAGACAGGGGTGTGCACCCATTGCGTATTTTCCTCAGTACTAATAATAAGCAAGTGTTCATTGATGTGCGTGTGGCGCTTGTTAAAGCATCCTGACAGGCAGTTGGAGAAGAAAGGTGTGCACCCATTGCATATTTTCTTCAGTACTAATAATAAGCAAGTGTTCATGGTATGATAACCATCAGTCTTCATACCATGGTAGACCGTGAAACCGGTATACCGCTGCAACCCTAGTGTGCATTAGTATATGTGTCATACCTTTATCTGTGATTTCTAATTGTTGCTGCTTGCTCTTTGCAGGGATTCAGTTTCGTCTCCCTACTACCTGCAGTGTGGACCGTGCTCAGCCACCTCCAGGTACCAGTCCATCTCCATCTCTTCTCCTTTCCCTCCACTTCTCTCCACAAACTACATTTCAGTTGCAGTCATACATCCATGGGCACCAAAGAGGGTCTGGCTATTTTTTGCTATTGATAAAAAAGATGTTTAAAAAAAAAAGGACAAAAAGCTAATAAAGGTGCATCTCTGGTGTAGATTAAGCTTCCAATATCTGGTAAACAGGTGGCATAAACTAGTTAAAGTTAAGGCATTCTAAACTCTTATCTTCATACTGTCTTCTCCATTTAGTATTTACTGCCCCTCCATTGTGTGGGCCTGTTTACTGAACGGAACAGTGCAGCAGATTGAAGGCAAACAATCAAATTGAAACACAGCCAAGCACAGCTGACTACACAGAGGACAAGATGCTACCTTGGACTATGTTAGTCAAACTTTCAACTAAAGCTGAACTATTTAAAAGTAAAAACATGCTGTAGTTCAGCAAATTTACGTTCACGATGAAACGTTTTTCTTCAACTTGCTTTTTCTGCATGTTCTCGTTGTGTTCAAGAGCTCCTAGCCACCAGCTGCTAACATTTTTCAGTCTATATTTGAAATGAATCTCAATTAGGTTCTTACTGGAAGCTCAAGAGTCTCCCCCTGTCCAATCCCGACACTTGTGTAATAGAAGGTAAGATACCTAAGGCGGTGTTATTTAAAACAGTCACATGACTAGTTGGCTAGTAGTGCAGCTGTGTGAGGTTCTGCTTTCAAAAAGTAAAAATACTGATGTTTTAGCAGTAAATATACTTGAAGTATGAAAAGTAAAACATGTTATCCAGTCAAATTGCTTTAGTCTGTTATATAACCGTATTATATGCATTACAGTGATGCCACTTTGAGATACAGTACTAGACAAAATCTTTATTTCAGTATTGAAATACCCAGTATTGGCCAAACAGAGCTTTAAGTGCACAGCATACAGTCTGTAGGAAGACATCTGGTGTCCAGACAACGTTATTACAAGACAATGTGACTTTTTTCAGATTGAGTAGGGCAGTTCTCTCAAAAGCTTATGTATGTGGTGATATGACAATGCAGGAGGAGTCAGCTAATTAAACGTCTTCACTAAACAACATTAGCCTAAGCAAAAATAATTATACCCAGCACATAAAGCCACAAATGTGTTTCTAAATGTCAGTTCATTTAGGCGAGCATAAAATGAATGAATTGCAGAAGAACTGTGATGCTGACTCAACTTGCAGCCTGATGGTAGGTTAATTTTGAGTCTTTATCATTATCCTATTGTGGGAGTACAGTCATATTCATCGCTTCTAAAAAAGGAGGTTATACGCCTATTAAATTGTTTGCCTATTTGTTACCAACTTACTGTGAATTCCCATTCTCAAGAGAATGTTGGAGACCCTTTACTGTAGCACTACCATTAGGCCGAATTTACACTTTTCAAACAGTTAAGTTCCAACTCAGTGGTTGTAAACACACCATATTTGCTGGGCTCACTTATGTAGTCAAGGGAAGAAACCCTGTACTGCTGTGCAAGCAAAAGTTTGAATTTGACCGTAATATATTTGTGGATACATTAGCATTTTCTGTATGTGCATGTCACCAAACAATAGAAGACAATATGTTTTTGTACTATAGTTAGAAAAGGTAGTCTACAGAAAAAAAAAGATAATTACTGAAAACCACATAAGTGAATATGTTTTAGAAAAGCCACTAACATGGAATTAGACTATTATTTTAACATTTTGATGGTTCTCCAGCGCATGATTATGACAAAACGGCAATTTTAAAGTGTTGTTTTGTCAAAGTAACGCAAGGTGACTGCACGAACTACAGATACTAAAGCACAGAAATACAAATATTTTTAAGTCTGCATTTATCTAGTACCAAGCAATCTAACATTTTCAGTATGTTAGTAAGTCAAACGAGTATAATATGTAAAAATAGAATGTGTTGTGTACCACCTGAGTCACTGTGCTCTTTTCATTTTGGTATCCACCCACTGTGTCTTGCAGAACTGCAGCCCCTTCACGTTGGAATGAAATCAAGTCTGTGACTGAATTTAGTTTAACAGACTTCCCCACGGTTTCTAATTTCTTATGGCACTTAATTACCTGTAATCCAAGGTGGTTTGTGTGTGTCTGCTAAATTAGGACTGCGCCTGTTTATGCCAGTATACAGTATATGTTTGAGAAGGCACAACGATCTTGCTGTATTAAATAATATATTCAATATAATGATTATAGGTGTACTGACAGATTATAAAAAAAACTTGAGCTATGTTTCACAGTCTTATTCTTCTCTCAGATTCATGCTGATTGCTTTATTTTATAGTCAGTGTGAAAGGCTAAAAACTACTGAAATATTTTCATTTTCTCATTAGTTCAACCAGACTTGAGCTTAACTAGTTTAAATTTACAACTAGCCTTGTGTTTATAACAAATTCAAGATGCATCCTATTTCTGGAAGTTGACCCTTGGTGTCTGCACTCGCTGAGTTTCAAGCACCTTAGTGTCCAGATCAGTTCTTATAAATACTGTAAGGAGGTTTGGTAACTTTTGAGAATGTAAAAGTTAGAAAAACAAACCAGATATAATCAGTTTATGGTCTGTCCAGTTCTTTCTGGCTTTGTGCACCAAGTAACATAGATGCTACAGTATACTTTCTGTGACTTATTTGCCCAAGAAATTACCAGGATGATAATATCTTTCATTGATCCAAACCACGTAAAAATCATAAAAATTATTTAGGAAAAATCACTATTACTATAGCTTTTCCAAAGACAGAAGAACAGGTTACCCAGCAAGTGCAGTTGGTACATTTCCAACTCTGCTGTGAGGTCCATCTGGATGGATTACCATCAAACTCTCATTTGCACTTGAAAGAGCAAAGCTTTCCCATAATCCTTCATTGCACTACCCCAGTTTAACGGTCATACATGTATTACAAAGCTGCTTTTGCTTTTCACCTCTCTGACATTTCCCTCGCTTTAAGTGTCTTGATGCCTAATCTCTCGTCATGCCATGATGCTCTTCTATCACACGTTGTGTGATACAGGTGTACTGCAACACTTGGCCCTTGCCAGCATTTGGCCACATTTTTCATTGTCATATTTATTTTATCTTCTACCCTTGTTTTGCCTTGTCCTCGTCCTCTCATCCTGCTTGTGCTATCCAGTGGTATCATATCCTCCCAGTTACAAGAAGACTCCACCTCCTGTGCCCCCGCGCACCGCCACCAAGCCTCTTATCTCTGTGACAGCCCAGAGCAGTACAGAATCCACCCAAGATGCTTACCAGGAGAGCAGGCATCCACGAGGCGGTCTGTGGACCACGGATAGCCTGGGGCGTCCCGTCTATAGCTCCACCGACAGCCTGGACAGCACCAAGGCGGTGACCATGGCCATGGAGTCAGCAGCAGGCAAGAGACTTGCATCTTTGGGCAGCCACACCTCCGTCCAGACATGCGACAAAGCAGTGCTGGTGTCCAAGGCCGAGGAGTACCTCAAAACCCCACGCTCCTCTATTGGGATACAGGTAAAAACATAAATGACATTGTTAATAATGCTCTCATTTCAGTCGCCACACAGCCTTCACGCCAAGTGTCCCAAACTCATCTGTCTTCTGTCGAATGCTGGCTGAAAGTTAATTTTATTCTTAATTTGGTATTCAAATATGATGAGAGCTATTGTACATATGGCAACATTTAGAGAAAACATAACAATAGGAGACTAATGGGAGACTCTTTAGACAAAAAAAAGAACAAAAGAAAGAAAGAAATCACAGCTGACTATTAAATGACAAGAGAATTAGATTTTATTATAGGCAATTTAGTGTATGCCCTTATCATACAGACTTCAAAATGTTGAACTGGTAATAAATCTACAAGTGTGAAAATTATTTAATCTGTAGTCATTTTTTGTGATCTTAATAACTCCCAAATGTAGCAGTCTATGTGAAGCACTCTACAAGGTTTGGAGTCTTCTTGACCTTTAAACATGTCAGGATGTACAATCACCTGGAGTAGGCTTAATCAAAGGTACCTGCAGTGAGAAATAATATAATAATTTCTCTCTGATTTCTTTGTGCCAATTGGCGATTTGTGTGACTTACTGTTAGAATACCTTGTGACTACCAATCACGCTGCACATACCAGAAAAAAGAGCTTCACCACAAGATAAAGAAGCCTTTTGCGCTAATTGTCTAATTAACTTAGAAAGCTCCCGCATCTCCCGAAAGCCAGACACTTCAGTTGTTAGCTGCAGCTTTTGGGAGCTGACTGCCTGTGTGGACCGGGGTGTTGCTGCTTGTTAGCCAAAGAAGTCCCATGGGCATAGACAATGTGTCCAGCTGTTAGCAACTGACGCTCTGCCAGCAGTAAACCGGAAAATTCATCTAATTAATAAGTCTATTGCAAACTCGTACAAAAAATCTTTGATAAGGTTAAACTTATTTTGCCCCTCAGTGAGATCCACTCAACTGAAACAATACATGTGTGAATTTTAGTCTCTAGAGCTGACACTTCAAAATATTGGAAAGCAGCAGAACCACATATTGTTATTACACACTGGTTTTGTCTGATTTATACTTGGGTTCTTATTGTGGCACTGGCTGTTGGTTTACCAGCCCCACTTTCTGCTGAGCAAAAAGGATGGGTAGAATTTATTTCTTACTGTCACCACTCCCATAGTACTTGCTTAGCAATGCTACCTGCAGCTTTGTGCAACATTATTACAGGCATTTGTGTAAAATAAGCTGTTGTGTAACTTTGGAAACTTTTAAACATAAACAAAAGTGTAGATTTTTTGGAATTATTAGGAGCTCATCTCAAAACCAGCTCATCCATCAATCGCGCTGCTAGCTGGAGAAAATGGAAACTTAAATCCTGTGTGACTAAATGTAACATATTTCTAAATGTCAGCCAGTCCTTTTGAATGGTAGGGGTTTTGTATGTGTACTTTGGTGGATCTGTACGTTTCAGTTGTGAGTGATGATAATTTGGAAGTGTTCTGTTCTCTATGTTTGCCAGGTGGAAGGTGTGACAGATTCTGAGGTTGAAAGTAAACGCCTTCCTCAGTTCCATTCTATTGGGATCCAGGTGGAGGATAAAAAACGGTATGTAATACAGGTGAAGGAAAGTGCCCATAGTCCAAGTTCTTTGTTCTCAAGTGTTATTTCTTTGATGTCCTTGTTAGGCATGGGCGGTTCAAGCGCTCAAACAGTGTGACCACTGCAGTGCAGGCAGACATGGAGTTGGAGGGCTTTCCCTCCATGGAGGACAAGGGCCTGCAGTTTGGTGGTGCTTTTGGTCGCCACTCCGAGCCCAGCACGCCCACGCAGTATGGAGCCATCCGTACAGTCCGCACACAGGGCCTGTTCAGTTACAGGGAGGACTACCGGCCTTCCAGTGGGCCCCCCAGCCCACAGCCCGAACCGTGGTTGGTTGAACCCAGCCTGGAGAGCACGGAATCAGGCCGCGTGTCCCCTCTTCGCAGGGACGGCAGTTGGTTTATGCAGCTCCTTCACAGTGAAACCAAACGGTTGGAGGGATGGTGCAAAGAGATGGAAAGAGAGGCGGAAGAGCATGACCTGTCCGAGGAGAGTGAGTGTCCTGAGGGAAACTATGTTCTTTTCAAAGCAGGAGCTGTGAGGTCAATTCTTACATGACCTGCAGAGTATGTGTAACGACATAACCAAAGTGGACATTTGCAGAATTAGCTACATGAAAACTGTGAATCCTGACAGACATTTTCCAAACAAACTGGATTCTTGAAAACTGAAAGAAAGGCATTGCCAAGCTGTCAGTGATAAAACCAGAATCTCTCTTTATGCATGTGTGTTTGTGTCCACCAGTCCTAGGAAAAATTCGGAGTGCAGTGGGAAGTGCCCAGCTACTAATGTCTCAGAAGTTTCAGCAGTTTTACTGGCTATGTCAGCAGAATCTGGTGAGTAACTGTATGTGTGTGTGTGTGTGTGTGTGAGAGAGAGAGAGACCAAGTACACTGTATTGGTCTATGTGCTGGTAATATGCAAAACAGAAACACAAAAGATCAGGTCTAAACTTGTTGCCCTTCTCTTTCTCAGAGCTCTAAGAAGGTGCTCAGCATGATGCTGCACTTGTGTGCCTTCCAGAAATAGACCACAGAGATCGATAGCGAAGCAGCCCCTCTGCTGCCATTGACCCTGCTGTAAACGAAAGGGGAATTCCAATAAGTGTGGGGGGGCTATCCATTCATTTCCAGAGGCAGCAATTCAAATTGGATCTCAGAGTTTCAAAAATAGACTGCTGCACTTTCTCCCTCTCTCCCCGTTGATGGAGGGAAGATGAATTAAGAGGCCATTCACTTAACGCATCTGAAAGCGTGTGGAAAACACCAGCCACGCCTCTTTCTGAATTTGAGGGCGCAAAAGATGCAACAGGCTATGTGAACAGCATTGGTAGTGACAAGCTTTAGATTGCCCTGAGCCTCCATATGAGAAAAACTCTGTTTCCCTGCTGGACAGAGGAGGAACAGCACGATGTGTCTATGAATCGCTCTGAACATGCTTTGAAATTTGACTTGACAGACCTTTCCTTGATCAGAGTTCACACTCATCCTGCCTTGTTATCTGTGTTAACGAGGTCGTCTACGACCGCCTGATTGTGCGAGTTGTGGTTTTGCTATTCGGACATCAACTGGCTGTGTAGGGACTGTGTGGAAATGTTACTGCAATGAGCACAAGTTCATTTAAATTCAGCAATATAATGCAACAATTAGAGTACAATCAAATTAAAACCTGCTTTTAAAAAACACCCATGATGACAGCAAATCATGTATGTTTCGTGTTGAAACAGAAAGGTCATTGATCGTATGTAAATGTTTGATTTTGATTGATTGATTTATTCTTTCTTTCAAGCATGTAAAGACAGTTGATATGTCAACACACATAATTTTACACATATCCAACAAATGCTAATCCAATATCAATTTGCTTATACTTAGTACATGCTTGAATGGAGTAGGAAGAAGTCAGACTTATCCAGTCCTACCCCATGACATCATCTTACCATCATTGGTTTGCAAGCAGTATCTCTACATAGATAATTCTCTTCTACACCACACAAGTAATATACTAAAGAATTATAACAGAGTGTTGACATTCGTACATAATTACATTCTTAAATAATTATCTTCTACACCACACAAGTAATTATTATAAAGTGTTAACATTCATACACCACACCCACAATGTTCCATCTAATTAATCATTAAGCCTGTTCTTGCATATATCTTGATTGACACATACCTTTATATTTATGTTTAAACTCATCAATTCTATTACTATTTTTTATGTCCACACTTAAATTATTCCATAGTTTTACCCCACTTATAGAAATACA